GAGTACCCTCACAGCACTTGCCTGCATTCTGCAGAGGAACACACATGAGAATCTTCAGTTCAAACCTGCACCATATGCTAGGGCAGAAGCTATGATTCTACACAGAGGAGGCTCCCACAGGACTTTACTGGCAGTGTGAAGCCCAGTCCTCACTTGTTTACACAACTCAGTAATTATGTGACTAGCACAGGCTGCAGGCATTATGTTTTGTGAGACTGTACAGAGGGCATCTATCACTTCCCCTACCTTCTAAGCAGGTGGTATGTGGGGGGTGACCAAAATAATGGCTATCACTCTAGCATGTGAGTGCTGCAGCTGTTTAAAACCTCACAGGAAATTATACTTCCATGTGTGTTAAGCCACGGGAAGAAAAAGATTCCACACCTTCAGAGTTCATGAGGAGGAAAAAAATCTGCTTCCTGAGTTGGGGTTTGCAAGGCTTGTGGCAGAGGAAGGACATGTGTTCAGGTCCCTGGGAAGAGGAACTGATCCCGAAGAAAGACATAGTGGGGCTAGAGAGGAGCAATAGATAGGCATGCTGGAAGGAAGTAACTGGGGGCCATAACCTAGAACTCCTGACAGTAAGCAGGAGAGAGGGCTAGGAAAGCAGACTGGAGCCAGACTGAGAAAGCCCCTCAGAGTAAATGACACACTACAGCACTGGCTCACCAGAGAGAACAATCAATCTCCCCAGACATGGCTCCACTCTGTCCTCTACTAACTTTCTCCCGTGTCCTCAAGTTGTCTCCAATGCTGTCCCATGACCATGCATATCAATCCTAACAACTGGTGCCACACATAGGTTGATCCCAAGTGTATTCTTACTCCATTAATGCTACAGTGATTTCTTATCATCTTCGGAGAACAATGACACCTCATTTAAAGTATGGATGTTCTGTGGCCCAGCCCTCTTCAGGCTTCACCTTCTTCCTCTCACCAGCTTCCTCCTCCTGTTCCAGTATCCTTGAGGTCCCGTGTCTCTCTGTATCTCCAGCACCATTTGCTAAAGAGGCTGTCTTTTATGCAATGAGAGGTTTTGACACCTTTGTCAAAAAATAGGTGACTATGGATTTATTTCTGGTCATTTATTCTATTCCATTAGTCCATGTGCCTGTTTCTTGTGCCAGTCCTTTTCACCATGACTCAATGGTATCACTGGAACTCAAGTACTACATGTAATAGGTCTGGCACCATTCTTTGTGTTTAGGATTCCTTTGGCTATCGGTGGTCTTTGTCAATTTTAGGATCTTTTTTCCTAGTTGTGTGGAGACCATCATTGGAATTTTTATGGGGATTACATAGACTATAGATTACTCTAATGTTAATTATTTCAATCCATGAGCATTGAAGGCATTTTCATTGTCTAGTGCCATTTTTTTCCTTCCGTGTCCTCAGGTTGTATTACAGATGTCTTTCACCTCCATGGCTAGGATACTCCCCCAAGTTTATTTGTTCACTTATTTATTAACTGATACTATTGTAAAAGAAATGTTTTTCCTGATTTCCTCCTTGGGAAGTTAGCTATTGAAACATAGAAAAGCTTTTCATTTTTCTTTGTTGATTTCAAGCCCTGCCACTTTGTTGAAAATATTTATCTGACCTAAGAGTTTTCTTATGTGTCCATAGAGTCTTGTAAATAGGATCATAGCATCTGCAAATGGGAACAGTTTGACTTCTTTATTTCCTACTTGTGTGCTTTTCATATGCTTTTCATGTCTTATTGCTTTAGTTATATTGAATATGAGTGAAGTGTGAGCACCCCTATCTCATTCCAGGTTTCAGGAAATACTCCCAATATTTCCCCATTTAGCATAACGTTGGCTCTATATTTGCCTTAAAAAGCCTTTACTATGTTGAGAAAATTTCTTTCTAGCCCTAGTTCCTTCAGGACTTTCATCATGAAGCCATTTTGAAAAGATGAAATCACTGAAAAGATCATGTGATTCCTGTCCTGAACTAAATTTGCATACTGGGGATGAAACCAATTTCACTGTGATACATGATCTTAATGTCCTCTTGGGTTTGATTTGTAAATATTTTGTTGAAGACTATTGTATCTGTGCTCATTGTAGAAGTTGGTCTATGGTTTTGTTGTGTTCTTATCTGGTTTGGTATCAGGATGACACTGGCTCCACAGGATTGCTGGCAGTGTTCCTTCCCTTTGATTTGGTGGCAAAGCTCAAGTACTGGGTGAGCTCTTCCTGAAAGGTTTGGTAGAATTCAGCAGTGAACCCGTCCAGTCCTGGTCTTTTCTTTGTAGGAAGACTTTTTATTACTGCTTCAGTGGCGTTGTTTCTTACTGTCAAAATTGTCTTTATATTCTTATATTATTTAATTTTGGTAGGTGATATATATTTAGGAATCTAGCCACTATTTCCAGATTTTTCAGCTTTTTGAAAATATTCCACAATCTTCCCTAATGATTCTCCATATTTCACCAAATTCTGTTGTAACGTTTCAGCTTTCATTTCTAATTTTATCAATGTGGTCTTCTCTTTCTTCTGGTTGGGTAGGTCAGGGCTTTGTCAATCTTGTTCATCTGTTCATGTGTGTGGGTGTTTTGCCTGTGTGCATGTGTATTAGGTGTATGCCTGGTGCCTATGGAAACCAGAAGAGGGTATCAGATCCCCTGAGATTGGAGTTACAGAAGGTTGTGAGCCATTGTGTAGGTGCCAGCAATTGAACTGGCTCCTTTGGAAGTGCTCTTAACTGATGAACTATCATACCAGCCCATTGAGTTCTTTTTTAAAACTTGAGCACTAATGGCTCCCTTTATATCACAGAAGTTTGGTAGGCTGTGCCATCATTTTCATCAGAGTGTAGGCATGTTAAAGTCCCTCCCTGACTTCAATAACTTCACTGTTAACTAAGGAGTATAGTTAACTAAAGAGTCTGCAAGTATTTGTGTATTCTCTGTGATTTCTCTTATTGATTTCTAATCATATTCTGGGGTCTAAGAGGATAGAAGGAATTGTTTCAGCTCTTTGCATTTGTAAAGGCTTGCTCAGTGACACCTAAGTGGCTGATTGTAGAGAAGGCTCTATGCGCTGCTGAGAATGTCTGTCTATTCTGTTATCTATCTGTTGGATAGAATGGTCTGTACATGTTTGCTACATCCAATTGGTCAACTGTATGGATTAGCTTCTGCTGTCTGGAAGGCCTGACTAAAGATAAAAATGGAGTTCTGAAGTCCCCCCAGCATTACCACATCAGGACTTAAATGACCTTTCATTAACTTTAGTAGTCATGAAATTGGGAATCCCCAATGCTCAATATACAAATATTAACAATTGCCATGTAACCTTTATAAGCTGTTCCCTTTTTAAATATGTAATGAATTTATCTTTCCTGAATACTTCTGGAGTCTATTTTATCTGATATCAGAATTGCTACACCAGCTGTTTCATGGTTTCCATTTGCTCAGTAGATGGATTTCCTTCCCCTGATTTTCAATTTTCTAATGTCTGTGCCAGTAGGATAGATATCTTGGAGACAATACATAGTTGGATGCTAGATTTTAATCTAGTCACCTAGTTTGCACCTTTTAATCAGTGAGTAAGACCAATTGCAAGTAAGGTTACTGAGAGGGGCCTGTTACTTGGTTGTTTCTCTGGCTGGTTGAATTATTGGCAATTCTTTTTTCCTCCTTTCTTACTATTAGGGTTTACAGGTTCACTGTGTTGGACATAATAAAGTCCTTCTTAGCTCTCCTTTGTTCATCTGTTCCTCCCCTAAGATATGTACTCCTTTTGTACTCTCCTGGAAGTGCTGCCTTCTTCCTCTGTAGAGTCCTTCCAGTATCTGCTACAGTGTTGGCTGGTTCATCATGAATTGTCTCAGTGAGTGCACATCTAAAAAATGTCCTTAAATCATATCAATTCTAAGGGATAACTTTCCTGGATATTGTCCATTGACAGTTTTTCTTTCAGGGACTGAAATACATTGTTTCTTGCTTCACTGGCTTTTAGGGTTGTTGATAAGAGATCTGACACTATTGTTTAAAATTTAAAAACCCCTTTTCATTTATTTATTTCTTATCGGGGGTGGGTAGATGTGTGTGTATGTGTACATATTACATGTGTGGGACAAACAGTGGGATCTGGTCCTCACCTCCCATTGTGTGGGCTCTGAGGACTGAACTCTGGTTGTCAAGCTTGACCTTCTAAGCTGAGCCATCTTGCCAGCGCAAGAGCAGATGCCTCTCTGACATCTCTGCTTCTGTATATGTGTTGGCATTTTCCTTTACCAGCTACAACAGTTGTTCCTTTGCTTTGCCTTTTTGAGATGTGACTGTGCCACATCATGAAGAGGGTCTTCTGTGACCACGTCTACTGGAAGTTTTACATGCTTGAGTTTGGATGTCCACTCCTCCGAGGTTTTGGGAACTGCCTGCTACGATTTCATTGAATAAACTGTGTAAGCTCTAGGCTTTATCTCAATTCCACCTATGCCATGGACTCTTAGGTTTGGTCTCTTGAAAATATTGACTATTACTGATGCTTTCCACCAGTCTTTTTCTTTTTAATTTTCATATTTCTGCTTGCCTTTTATCCATCCCATTTTTCTTACGTACTTTTCATCCATGTTTTGAAATTTATTGTCCAAATTATTAATTCATCCACATTGCTATTTCTAGTCTAGAGCCTGAAACGATTCCTTACTCTAGTCATCCATTCATCTAAGTCTTAAATGTCACATATCTTTTTTAGAAGTAGTACTCAAAACATTTTTTTGGACTTTGAGCTCTGCGGTTACTTTTGGTTTCTAGTCTGGACAGTGGTGAGTATATGTGGGTGCCACAGTGACACACAGTGTGTGTCAAGTGCCCTTGTGATTTCCTGTGCTATATTTGTGCATCTGTGTTCCCACTTTTATCCTTCCACTCTTCTTCTTGTTTTTGCTTTTTCTTTGATTTTCTTTTACATGAGTCATCCTGGTAAGTTGTCTTCACTTGGATTTATAGTCCCTGCTGTCATTTTAAGAGGCAAGCTGACTTTAGCAACAGATAATGGAATACCTCAAGTTTGTGTGTTATCCCTGACCAGGGGCCACAATAACCTTCTCTGTAATATTCCAGTTTTAGTTCATGTGCTGCCAAAGCTAGCACGGAAACTGTACTTGAAAGAATAATCTGTCACTAATGAACAATGTATGTTATCTTAAAACAACGTGTGTTGTCTTAGGCTGAGTTTGGCAGTGTGCTTGCCTAGCTTGCTCAGAGCACAGGGTGTGTCCCCCAGCATAACACAAACCAGGCATAACACAAACACACACCTGTAGTCTAGAACATGTGAGGTGGAGGCAGGATCAGAAGTTCAAGGCTAGCTTGGGTTACATGAGTCCTTGTCTCAAAAAAAGGAAGGGGAGGATTAAGCAATTTCTGATCTTGTACATTAGTCACACATTTATTAAGAAATGTATTTAAAGTATGTATTTATTCCTGTTAGAAAATAAAAAGGAAAGAAAGTAGCTTTCATCCCATTGTTTGGAGTATAATTAATAGGCCTATGACATAAGTTATATGCAAACAGTGGGACAGTACACAGTCATCCTACAGAACTATTTCTGGTGAAAAATAACTATCTCTTGCTGAAGTGGAAAGGGCATGGTAGAGAAGTACACGTACTATGGCCTTATTTGTGCTGTTAAATTTTATAATTATTCTACAAGGTCACCTCTGGCAACAGGTCCAAAAAGAAAATAGGCAGAAGACGTCACCTCAACAAGCATGTGTTCGCTCTACGCATGGGTTTGCTGTACACGTGTTTGCACTTTTCTGGGAAGAGAGGTCATTGTAACTAATGGCCTTATGGTCCTGAGCATGTTCTACTGCAGGGCTTACACATCAGTGTTCGAACACTTGCTGGCTTTCTGGATCCCGGCCAGCTTCTTAGAGGGTAGGCGCTATCGTCTTTCCCTGATAGAGTGCCAACCACCCAGTCCCCGCATGAAAATGAATGAAAGAGGGAGGGAAGGAAGGGACGAGATCAGGCAAGGAAAAAAGATGATGATCTGATATGATCAACTGTGTGACAGCATGCAGCCTAGATACAGAAGGCCAACCCAGTTGACATGGGGTAATCAATGGGACAGAGTGTGAAAAAGTGTTTGCTCCCATGTGAAAGCCTCAGACCAGGTGTGCCTGAGAGGAGTTAGGAGTTAGGAATGCCACTCCAGTGCACTTGGCATTTTCACTGAGAAAGAAGGTGTACCTGTAAACCACTGTCATGGTCCTCACAATGATACATGCACCTGTACCTCCTTCACGCATCTGAACACCACCCCTCCCTCCTGGAAACACCAAGCCCTAAGCTGCTCTTGAGCAAGGGACTCGTAATCCTGAAGGCCACTTCATCACTTTTGCTTACAACTGCTTTGCTCACAGGGCCTTGGGAATGTCAACTTAAGTAACAGATGTCAAGCACTCCATCCCATCTCCTGAATAGGAGGCTGTCCAAACAAGCCCACCATTAAGCTCTTGACAGAACCTGTTCCAGAGTTCTAGGTGCTCAGTGCCAATGCCATCAGGAAGTCTTGAGCTTACAAGACCCATGTGTCACTCACCCTGACCATCAGAATTCAGATTCTTCCCAAGTGTGTGGAGAATGAACTGGAAGCTGCTGCTGCTCCTGGTCCTTTTACTTTAGTCACACCTGCCAAACCAAGCTGCCCTTATCGGGCTGCAAGTTTAAAAAGCTAGCCCATCTGAGACAGTTGGCCTTTAAAAGCCTTTTTCCTCAGTTGCCTATGTTCCCATCCTGATGGCTCATGTGATCAGCATGTGAACCCACTTACCACAGTGGGAGGGTCATTCCACTCTTCATACGAGATGGCTGCATATGGATAGATCCTGTCATTGATGATCTGCAGGGTGGCCAGGGCGATGGCTTTAATGGACCGGAAGTATGCCTCCCAGAACCATCGTGCCTACAAAGAAAACGACACGCTGGAGGTGAGCACATGAGATGTGGGAGAATGAGACACCCTGTCACAGCCAACACTAGGGCTAGTTGATTCCTTTATTCCCAGGCTGACGGCTCTTCCCTGCTGCCATACCCACTCTGTCAGAGGAATGTCTTTATTGAAGGCTGTCAGAATAGAATAGGAGCCAGGGGAGTATACACAGAGTCCGTGTAATAGAAGAGGAGCCTATGATGATAAAAGTACTACAAGTACTACGTGTCATATCAGGCCAGGTCTAAAGGCTTTTTAAAAAGATATGTAGAAGCCTAAAGAGAGAGCCTGATGCTTGAAGCACCTGCCATGTAAGCATGAGGACCTGAGTTTGATCCCCAGAACATATGTAAATGCTGGGTGGGCATGGTGACCCAACATAAACCCAGGTTCAGAAAGAGATCCCCCAGAGCAAACTGGCTACCAAGACTGGTCATATCAGTGAGCTCTGAGTTCCGATTGAGAGACCCTGTCTCAAAGAATATAGTAAAAAAGCAATGAAGGATGATTCTTCATATCAACCATGGGCCTTCATATGTGCACATGCGTGCACTCACACACATACAAATTTACATGCACACACGCATACCACACACAAAAATGGACAAAAACATTAGATATAACTTACAGGAATATGTTTTCTGTGCGCCAGTGAATGAATGTCTATGCGTGCTCTTAAGGACAGCTCTGGTAAGACAGGGAACATTCTAGTACCCCAGATATCCCATGCTACAACCAGTCAGCATCTCACTCTTTTAAAGGCACCGCCACTCAGATTTCTCTTGCTCATTCTTGAATTCCATGCAAATGGCATCACATACATTTATTCTCTTGTCATGGACTTATTTGGTGCCACTTAAAACACCTAAGTTGTTTTCTGGAATCAGGATGTGGCTGGCCTCACAAAATGAACTGAAAAGTGTTCTCTCATTTTTCCTATTTCTTGAAGAATTTAATGCAAATTTGACATTACTTTTCCTCCTTGAAAGGGTTTAAAAGAATCCAAAGACACAACTGGGGTAGGTTTTTGTGAGTAGTGTGCCAAGGTTTATTTATTAATTTTGTTTGTTCATTTGAGACAATGTCTCATTATGTAGCCCAAACTGGCCTAGAAATCACAGACTTCCTGTTTCAGCCTCCCAAAAGCTAGAGTTATAGGCACGGGTCACCTGGCATTACTTTTATTTTACCGGAGGCAACATTTCACTGTGTAGGCCAAACTTGCAATCCTCCTGTTTTAGCATTCTCAGTGCTAGGCTTAAAGTTACTGATTTTCTTTTGCAGGCACAGAAGAATGCAAGTCTGGCTGTGTGAGCTTGAGAAAAGTACGCTTCTCAAGGAAGGTCTCATCCCATTTGAACTGTTATAGTTCCTGTATAAAACTGTATAAATATAGCCTTTCCTTCCCCCTCCTGTCTGCTGGGCTTTCTCTTGGTGCTTGTCTTTCTGAAATGTGGTCAATATGAAGAGTCATTTCAGAAGGAATATTTTTTCAGTTTTTTTTTCCTTTCTCTCCATCATATTTTCTAAGCTTTTCATTGCTCTTAAAAACATTTGCTTGTCTGTTCTGTGTGTGTGGCAGGCATGTGCATATGGTGTTGGAGAGGGGGTGCAGGTGCCAGGCAGAGGCCAGAGGAAGATGTCAAGTGTCTGCCTCTGTCACTCTCTCTACCTGTGTGTGCATATGTGCACCTGAATTCTGGCCAAAGGCCAGCTGTGGAGCACAGCATCTAACTCAAGATGTCTCTAATCATCCCCCTGCCCACAAACTGTAGTTCACTTAAGAGAGGAAGCAAGCTCTGCCAACAATCACAGCTCAAGTGTCTCAGCCTGACAGTGAGTGTGCTTCCCAGGCTTAATTGCCTCTGCAGGACCTTGATGGTAAGAGCTCAGAAGGCATGGTAAGTCACAGCCCCTCCAGGCCTCTCTGTCAGCTACCTGTCCACAGAGACAGGGTTTCAGTCGTGCAGATGATGTCCTCTTTCCAGAGCAAACATAAATGCTTACTATGTTACCTCATCTCCAAGAATATATGAGCCACCTTTCTAGCTATCCTAGAAATTTGAAAATGGGGGAAACTGGCTGCCATATAAACCCTCCCAGTGACTGTACAGGGGAACAGTTAGTCATGCAGGAATAGATCAGACCAATAAGATCACAATTAGGCATTTAACCAGATACCATTGAGCAAGTAAAACATACAGATTTCATAGTATAAGAACAGTGAAATTCCCAACATTTACACATAAGAAACTCTGAGAGGGACAAGGCTGGGCCAGCTTAAGACTATAAACTATCCAACCAGGGTCCTGAGGAGAAGAGTCAGTGAGGAAAGCACTTGCTGTGTAATGGTAAGGGCTGAGTTTAGAGCCCCAGCACCCACGTAAAAAGCCAGGCAACTGTGATGCCAGCTGTAATCTCAGGAAGTGTACACAGCTCCCTGGGTGAGCTGGCTGAGCAGACTCAGTAGAATCAGGAGTTCTAGATGCAGCAAGACTCTGTCCTAACGAAGTGTTGAATGATTGATTAAGGAAGACACTAAATGCCAGTCCAGCTTCTGACCTCCACTCATGTGCACACAGGTGCAGAAACACATTTGCTAACACACATGTAAACATGCATATATGCACAATGTACATACACACATACATGTAAAAATACTATCATAAGCAACAGGAACTCAACTGAACTTGTTGTTTCAGATTAAATATCAATTAAATAGCATGTTTTTGCTCTTCAGTAATACTATGCCAATGGGATCAGCAATAACTAGTGTTTGTGAGGAGCTAGCGCAGTGCAGGGAGGGAGGGAATGACAATGACAAGCAGCTGGTGTGTTTTGCAGCTGGCAAACCTATCTGCTTCCCAAAATCTGTAAGGGAAAGGTCACAGTGTCTGCCTGTGGAGTTAAGAAGACGCTAGAAGATGAGGTTTACAGAAACGATCCGCCAGGGCTTCTGGAAGCAGAACATGCTCTCCCCAACACACATGCTATGATTTGAAAGGGAAAGCGCCCCCCAGAAGTTCACATGTCAAACTGTTGGTTCCCAGCGGGAGGTTCTGTTTTGGAAGGTTCTAGAAACCTAAGAGGGAGAGCCCGGTTGGAGAAAACATCACTGGGGGCATGCCTTTGAGTGCTATACTGAGTCCCCAGTCCCCTCCTTACTTTCTTCTTGTCTATTGTGAGCTGAAAAGCCTCCTCCTCTACATGCTATAGTCATGGTGTTCTAACAATGGCAGCCAGAAGAGGGTATCAGATCTTCTGGAACTGGAGTTACAGAGGTTGTGAGCTGCCATGTGTGTACTGGCAACTGAACATGGGTCTCCTACAAGAGCAGACTGTGATATCAACAACTGAGCTTTATCTCAGTCTGAATTGGTGAATTTCATCAAATTATTTTTCCCTACTTCATGCGGTGATCTTACGAGTTTATTTTGTTGATTCAGTAGTTCACTCTGAATGTTAACTAATCTTAATGATGACCTAATGACCTAATGCTTTCCCTGTACTACTCAGTTTGCTTGGTAAAATTTTGTTTAGGACTCCTGTGTTAATATATCACAGATGCCTGGCATCGTTGCTTTAAATATGCAATGTTATTTTATAAAACACTAATGACAAAAAGGGTTTTCTATTGAAATATGACACAGAGCTAAAATTATATCATGTATCGCAAAATCTTGATGTCAGAGATGTTATTTTTCATTAAGTATATGAATGGGGGGGGTATATATGTGAGTGTAGATACCAATGTACACCAGAAGAGGGCATCAGGTCTTTCTGAAACTGGAATTACAGGAAGCTGTGAGCTGCATGACATGGGTGATGGGAACCAGGCCTGGGTCCTCTGCAAAAGCAAGCAGGATGTGTTCTTAAGCACTGAGCCATTTCTGAGCTTCCAGAGAGAGAGAGAGAGCGATGTTTAAGTGTAAAAATAATATGCGGTTTGGAATCTATTAAGTAGTGTGTGTTTTTATTTGTTCTCCAGGCAGGCCTTGGAAGGACAGCAGTCACTGCTCCTGTGGGCCGATCCAACACTGTCTGCCAACAAGCCTTCTGAAAAGGACAAACAGAACCACAGGCAGGCATCCCATAATTTAGGTCGACTTTAACCTACTAAGGCTTTTCACTAGGAGAGACATCTCTGAAGGTCATTAAGGAAACAGAAGATGTTTCTTAAACACCTCACCAGGACATTATGTGCTATCATTAACAAAGCCACAGGGTCCAAACTGAGAAAAGACCCCATGTCTTCAATGGTAATTAAGGGGGCTCAGTGTGTCAATCACAGTGAGTCCTACAAATATGCAATGAATGAGGTGGGATCAAGTCAGATGGAGGGCAACCACAGTCTAGATACCAGCTGCCTCGTCAACCTGACCACGGTACTGGAAATGGTGTGGGCCTCAGTGAGCCATCTTTAAATGAAACCAGAACTACTCGATCCTTAAGGATCTTTCTATACCTGATATTCAGTGACACTTCAGGCAAATTACCGGTTTCTCTGTTCTTTTTTTTTTTTTTTTTTTTTTTTAGTGTCTCTAAGACTTACCAAGCATTGAAAATCTTCCTTATTCTGTCATGCCCAGTCTGCTGAAAAAAATGGCCCTATGTCACATCACACACACACACATGCATGTGATTACAAACACATTTGTTCTGGCCCACAGACTCAAGATAATCACATTCTTCAGGGATTCTCTTTCTTTTAAATGTTGTTTGCCTTGTCTTTCATCTTCCCAAATCCTCTCTGAGAGAGTACCAGCTCCCATCCCAGTATTTAAGGAGCTTAGACACCTTTCCTGTGTCCTAACAGAAGTAAAAAGCTGAACAAACATAAAAATCTGCTTCCATCCATTAGGCAAGTGAGGTGCCAGAACAGCCATTTCCCCCAAACTGAAGAAAACAACAGGTGGAAACAATCCCAATTTACTGAACAGAAACTTCTGCAAGCCAGTGCCAAGTGGGAAAAC